AGTGTGTGTGTGTGTGTGTGTGTGAGAGAGAGAGAGAGAGAGAGAGAGAAAGAGAAAGAACGAACAAAGGCCAAATAAAGTGGGAGCGAGAGAATGTCTTGCAAGTCTGGTAGCCCTGACAACCTGCCTATCAAATATCAGCGTCACATTGCCGTATTTCCGTGATCTCCAGTCGGCATTTGCGCCGGCGTCTGGGGGAGCCAGGCGTGCGTACAGACATTCAGAAGGCCAGCTCCAGAGCGGACACATTTGCGAAACGACAGACCAACAGGCATGCACACAGACACAGGCGCACAAAGCCACCCAAAGCACCCAATAAACTGGCCATCGGACGACAAGGTGTTGGCGGCAGAGATGCCGGCTGCTTCGCCTTGTCAACCTGTCCTCCGGACCTCCGCTCGACGGCCTGGAGCAGTGTGATCTCGGCTCCAGGCGTTTGACTCGGGCCTCATGTTGCCAGGATTAACCGGCCGCCGCCGCCACCACCATCACCATCACCACCACCAACACAACCACTACCAGTGCCAGCATAGTCAGCATCACAAGTGACACAAACAGCATCACCAACACACCGAATAGCACAGATAAGAGCAACAACAACATGACCTCCCGCGTGAACTGGGTCTCGGATGGGCGGGGTTTTTCGCTCCGATCGGCGCCACTTCGTGACTCGACGACTCGCCAGACGCCTCGCGCCGCTCGTGCTGCTCGCGCTGGCCACGCCTCGGCTGGGCTTTGTCGCTTCGTCCGGCTGGGCGTCTGTCTCGTGTTCGCCTCGTTCGTCCGGTTGCACAGCCTCTCGGTCCGTCTGGTCGCGGCGGCTCAGTTAAAGGCCCTCGCGGCCGACTGCCAGCGCCACCGCCTGACGCTGGCGCGCGGCCGACAGCCGGTCTGCACCTGGTCGAGTCGCTTTCGACCCGCCGGCGTCCACGTGATAGCCATTCTCTCTTGCCTTCTTCTCTTGCTGCACCCCAGCAATCAGTTGCGCTCTCGCCTGCTGCCCGAGACGTCCGGCACTGCAGCGCCAGACGAGCCAGCTGGCCTGCCGGGCCGATCGATACGACAGTCGGGCCACGTCTGGTCGTCGCCTCAGCCAGAGGCCCGTCAGCCGACTTTACAGCCCGCCACCGGCCCAGCGGACCGAGTCGCGTTGGTCGAATTCGACTCGCCGAGCGGGCAGTCGTGGCCGCGCCTCGGAGCGTCACAAAACAGCCAATCAGCGGCTTGGACGGCCGGTACGACTCACTGGCAGCCGACGCCTCGAGGCAATGACGCCCAGCACCGTCTGCCCGGCCCGGCCGTCGGACACGCCTCCACCGCGGCCTCCGTCCCCGCCTCGGCCGCTCCGCACCGCCTCGACGCCTCTCTCGTCAGTCGCTTGCAGACACGTCAATCCTCCGTTCCTCCGGCCAGATTGGCCGCCGGGCCGAGTCAGCATCAGCAGCGGGCCGCCAATCAAACGGGCCATTTCGCCATCAGAAGCCGCCCCGGCGTCGGGATGCCGACGACCAATCGACAGGTGGACACGTCCGAGTCCGACTCTGGCTACGGGTCCGGCGCGGAGTCGTCCACTTCCGGTCAGATGGTGTCGTCGGGCATCTGCGACCAGCCGAACAGCTTCCTGTGGCGACAGCGCAAGGTCTGTCTGCTCTATCCACATCTCATGGAAAGTGTGGTGCGAGGCTATTTTATGGGCCTGAAGGAGTGCGAGCACCAGTTCTCGAGGAGTCGCTGGAATTGTCAGGGCTACAACATGACCATACACTCTCCGGCGCCTCGGAGACGCCGATCCAGACAGCAGCGAGTCGGCCTCGACGAGGCCAGAACGGCCGAGGGGACAAGCCTTCAGCCGATGCGAATAAAGACGTATTTGGATAAGCTGCTCAATCGGGGTAAGTGGTTGCCGCCTTTGGCGTCTATCGTCTGGGCCTACTTTTACACATACCTCATCCGCTAGTACATCTGACCAATGTTAGACCACTTTGTGCCGGAGTGCCTCTTCATTCTCAACAGACTTGCATCAATTGGGCCGCAGTCACACCCTGCGTTGCCACCAACAGCACCACCACCACGACCACCATATCCGCCATCATTAACACCTACACAGGGCACCAAGAACGTCAACAGTTTTGCCACACCCACCACCATAACCATCACCAACTCGACCGCCATCACCGTCATCTCCACTAACATCACTATCACT